CAGCATCACTGCCACAGTAACGTTAGCAGTTAGCACCAATAGCAGCAGTATCAGCAGTTTCACTAGCATCATCGGCACCACTACCACACCACCAACAGATGTAGTATCAGCAGCAGCAGCACAAACATGAATATCAGCAGCAACAGATGTAGTATCAGCAGCAGCAGCACAAACATTAATATCAGCAGCAACAGATGTAGTATCAGCAGCAACAGATGTAGTATCAGCAGCAGCAGTACAAACATGAATATCAGCAGCAACAGGTGTAGTATCATCAGCAGCAGCACAAACATGAATATCAGCAGTAACAGATGTAGTATCAGCAGCAACAGATGTAGTATCAGCAGCAACAGATGTAGTATCAGCAGCAACAGATGTAGTATCAGCAGCAGCAGCACAAACATGAATATCAGCAGCAACATCAGTAACACTAACACTAACACCAGCATCAGCACAGTCACCAGCAAGAAGAAAAAAAGGACACCGCAGTCAACGACAATAGTTTTACCATCAGGCCTCCTCTGTCTGGCTACGGAATACTCCCTGTACCCCGTAAGCAAACAGGCCAACGTGCCATAACCAGTAGGGATGAAACGATTACACCGATTACTCGGAACTTACTCGTTATCTCTGTGATCGCTGTTATCGAGTATGCACTACTTGTACATGTGCATAGTACTAGCTTAGTTGCACTGTACTGTTTGCATAGTCAACTCCAGCACGCGTCATCCAGGGTGACAAAATTCACACATTTTCTAGGCACCTTCGCACTTTTGGGATCCGGTGTGTCATGCACATATTCCCCGGAGACCAGTAAAGTTTATTTGTCATACAAATCCAGCATACTCGTTTTATGATAACTCGATCGTTAATAACAAACGGTACTCGATAAGAAGAAGTGGATGGTCGTTTCATCCCTAATAACCAGAAATGCTGCATACTATTAGCAGAAATATAACTCACAGGTGTTCTAGGTTAGTCAAGTCGTCAAAAACAAACGGTTGGATTTCGGTAAGGACGTTGGATTCCAAATTCCTGGAGCAGAAGAAAACCAGAACAAGCAGAGATCAGCTTAGGGGTTGCACAGAGCCATTTGATAAGAAACAATATCCTTGGGTTCTCGTTGTGGTTCTGCGCTGTCTTTAAGACAGGTGGTCACCTTATCCAAGTGCTCACCTTATCCGAGTGATCGCCTTATCCAAGTGATCACCTTATCCGAGTGGCCACCTTATGTGTGTGGTCACCTTATCCGAGTGGTCGCCTTGTCCAAGTGATCACCTTATCCGAGTGGTCGCCGTGTTCGAGTGGTCACCTTATCCGCGTCAGCTTTTCCAAGTGGCCATCTTATCCAAGTGGTCGCATTGTCCAAGTGGTCGCATTATCCAAGTGGCCACCTTGGCAGGTTTTTCTGTAATATGTAGTGTCCCTGAAAAACGCACCCAACGCTTCAGGCAGTGCACCTGCTCCCATCCTACAGTACACACTGACGTGTACCCCGGTAGTGGAGACACATGGGAGTAGTTATTTATATTTGTTATTGTAATGTATGAATTCAAAAATTTTGAAGGACGCTTCACGCAGCTTCATTATACTTGAATCGTTTGCAGGCAACCTGCCTACACTCAAGAGAGCACTGCATTTCACACAAATCCATTAGAGGTATTGTTACAACGTTTCGGTCTTTATGACCATCATCAGGAATGAAGTGGACATGGAAAGACATGGAAAGAACAGCAGTATAACAGCAGTATACTGCTGTTCTTTCCATGTCCACTTCATTCCTGATGATGGTCATAAAGACCGAAACGTTGTAACAATACCTCTTATGGATTTGTGTGAAATGCAGTGCTCTCGTGAGTGTAGGCAGGTTGCCTGCAAACGATTCAAGTGTATGAATTATAACTAAAATTACTGTGCTCTTGTTGTGTCGCGATTTCAATCCATCTTTCCCACTTCAAGTACTCACAGTGTTCTGAGGGGTGTCCAGTCCTTGAACAGTTCTGGTTGATTCAAGCTAGAGATAGTGTTAGACGGTGCTCTCAGCTCTCTGTTCGTGCACAGTGACGAGAAGACAGGAAAAAGACAACAGCACAGATACGTTTAAGGCTATCACCAACATGCACACACGCACACATCCGTTTTCCACAAAAGTAACTGGATAGGCGAGGGAACCGGATAATCGAACACACATACTGTATGTATGCATGACATATGCTGTTAATCGGTAACCAACGATTTTCTTCTGGACGGTGAGGGATCCGGATAAAAGAGGACCGGATAAGCGAGGTCTGACTGTACTACCAAACACGCACAAACACACACACACACACACACGCGCGCGCGCGCACACACACACACACACGCACATCATACGCTCATATCACACATGCACGTTAGACCAGAGACAGTTGGGGAAACGTCATCACACGGGCAAAACAACAAATCGTACTACAAAAAAACAGCGGCCACTTACAATACTTCTCCGGCTGGAACTTGCGGAATCGCACTGATGTTGTCACAATCGTACACACCAGATTTGAAATAGCAAGTGCCTTCGGCCGATCTGATCACGAACGCAGCCTGGATGACAAAGAAGAGTTCCACAACCCGAAGGATGGACAGACGTGGCTGGACAGCGTGCATCGCGCACAACGGTGGATGGGCTGTGAAAAGAAAACCACGCACACCACACAGACATACACAGACATACACAGACATACACACACACACACACACACACAGACATACATATACACACACACACACACACACACACACACACACACACACAAGGAAGAACAGCAGGGCTGCCACTTGCTCCGATTTTTGATCGCCTGTCGGACAAACCGACCGATTTTGTTCCCAAAGAGGGACAACCGATTATTTTATTTTGAGCGCTTTTAATCCGGTTGGCCATTCGGCGCTTCCACGTTGCGTTCGGCCAGTCATTGTACATGTACATGTACATGTAGCTGTAAAATGCACGAGTGCTTGCATGTGTGTGGACAGTTAAAAATGTGTTCCGGGGCCCCAACAGCAAGCCATTTTCCTAAAAAAATTCGCCGCGGGACACCCCCGGACCCCCGTCAGATTTCTCTCCCTCCAAGTGTGGCAGCCCTGGAACAGCAAAGAAAAGAATTCTTGTGTTGATAGACACCTAGAAAACAGTATAGATTTCCCAAAAAGTTCTTCAGCTAGAAGAAATGGATAGGAGAAGTCTTACAGCGGGGACCTCTGCTATAGACCAGCGATACTCTGGCTGTTCTACGTTTTCATCAGACTTTCGAAACTCGCGCTAAAAAGGAAATACTTGTGTGTGCGGATACGCTCATTGCCATTCTCGTGTGTTGTGCCTCTGCAACTCGGCGGATACCGTACAGACACAGTTCCGAGGACAACTCGCTCTCCTTGGGAGAGCTTATCCTTGACACCGGAAACCTCCACAGCTTGCCAAGCCTAACGTATCATTACAGGGGTGTCGGGGACACAGTACGGTCACCACGGTATTGACCGTACCACTCGTTGCCCTTGGTACCACGTGAATCAATAAAACACACTGATTTGGACTCTAAATTTCCTAAATTTCCGGCTCAGCAACCCCTCCCCACGAGTGCTTTTTATGGCTGACCATAACAAAAGTAAAGTTTGCACGTCCGCTTTACAACCGGCTATACAATTGTATTGAGAAACACAACCAGCTTAGGGGTCGTCGCAAAAGTTTTCTGTCGTCCTTGAAACGAACATCGTTCATTTCGTACTCGGACCCCCTCCCCTCCCTCTGAAACGAACACAGCTTGCTATGCTGGACGACGAAAATCGCATCATGTACATGTCATATGTACAGTGTCGGTCGACTTGCGATTTTGGCTCGCACCCCCTGCCCCCCAAATGAATCATGTTCGTTTCAGGGACGACAAAAAACTTTTGCGACGACCCCTTAGGAAGTTTCGCTTGTGCCAGGCCACCACAATGCCTGTGATACCAGGGTGGCAGATGCAGCGTCTAACGGCGAGGGTGGGGTGGTAACTCTCACAATCAATGCCAGACAAGGGGGCGAACCTCGTTAGTTGACCATACCACATTACAATATCTTCCCAAGCCCCTACATTAGCACCATGGTGTACGACACACCCATGGCAATTCAGGGCAGCACAAGACATAACTAGTTACCATGGCTATAGCCAGAACAAAACTGATGGGGGGGGGGGGTCATCGGACCCAAAATATCGTGGTTTTTCCGCCATTTTTGCCACCATTTTGGCCGCTACTTTCACCAACACCAGCTAGCAACCGACCAACTGTTGTACTTCCACTCCGTACTTCCATTCCGTGTATTTGTTCACCGGTCACTGGAACCCACCGTTGATAAGGTTGTAGAGGTAAGTGATGATTACCATGCAATGACTCATGCAATGACTCATGCAATGACTCATGCAATGACCCATGCAATGACTCATGCAATGCTGCGCTACTACATGCACATGATGTGTCCTCATCATGCACATAAAAAGGTGGAGCTCATACTCTGAAGACTCTGAAGGGTGGCGGATTCAATTTGAAAGGAGGGCGGTCAAAAAGTGAAGGAGGGCGCAGCGCCCTGCTATGTCGCTTTGGCGAGAACCTGGCTACAGTGCTGCTCAATGAAATCCATAAATAAATAAAATAAATTTCACGGTTCGCGTGAGACTTGGCTGGAAGCCGAGTTTTCGCATCCGTAGGAACGCCACCACCCTCTAGGATCAAAGTGCAGATGCAGAGCCTAAACAGTGGGAGGTGAGTAGATCAGACCCACCACCAAGTGGTCAAAGACCGAAATCCCATTAGCTGCATCCATGTTACCCTCTTGCCAAGCCACGAGTTCCCAACTAACTGTGAATGAAATCCGTATTGCAAGTCAATGCCACGCTGGGTGCTGTGCAGCCCCAGACTTGCAAACTGCACTGGTGCAGCAGGGTGCAAGCGCGACTCACGAAATCGGATTCGACTGAGCAGCACTGTAAAGAACAGAACAGGTACCGTATTTCCCCGAATATAAGTCTCACCTTTTACTCTGAATTTCAAGGCCAAAGAAGGGGGTGAGACTTACAATCGAGTGTGACTTCCTACTGATGTGCGTGTTTTAAAACAATATGGCTCAAACCAGAAAGGGGGAGTGCGACTTATAATCGAGTGCGCCTTATGATCGGGGAAATACGGTACACTCAGCATTCTGCTGCTTTTGCCCCACCGCCTACATACCTACCAATCAGCCCGATTTTGCCAGGACTGTCCCGATATTGAGGGTGGTAATAGGCATCCAAAAGTGCATTAGTCGCATGCCTCACAGCAACATTTTGTATACATTTTTATACCTAGGTATGTCACTGTCCCGATCTCAGGTTTTCACAGGTTGGCAGGTATGCGTCTAGGTCAGTTAGGAGCTGTACCTTGCACCTGATCATGGCGAAGTGACATCCCACAGAAGCGGGAAAGCAGTAGGGGCGAATCGAGTACATGTATAATTCTTTGCCTTTTATTTTGTATTCTTTTATCTGTTTTACTGCTGTGGTTGGCTTTCACCCTTGTCTCAGTTTTACTGGCCGTCATCATGATGTGCCATGAGATAATGATATAAATACAAATACAAATACAAACAATGATTCCTTGAGTAGTCGCTCGAAATACGTTTGGAGGGCGAGTACTCGGTATGTAAACAGTACTCGACGGTAGTTTGCATGACATGCAACAGACGCAGTGTGTTTGTAGCTGCAAACATAGTATTGTGCCTGCACTGTATGCGAGGAGCAGGAAATGTTGCTCCTCCGCTGCCTGTTCACGCACTGGCAGCATAGCTCAGGTGCTGTGCAGCTCAGGGGAGCTACATTGTAAATGCAAGGACTACGTTTACATACTCGAAGTATAAGGCTTAGTGTGGGCACAGTGTGCAGAACTGTCACAACTGTACACATAACAGCTCAACGCAACAGTATAACTTTACAAGTTGCAAGGGATACTCGAGATAGCTAGAGTACTCACAGCTATCTACGCGAGTACTCGGACAAGAAATATCAGAACTCGTTTCACCTCCAAAAAGTTGTGCTTCACCCAAACAAACAAATGATTGGAATGTGTTTTCAGCCCTCCTTGACGTACTCTCAAAATCTTGCAACAGAATGGACTGGGTAGTTATCAACGCGTGGCTGCGAGACCTACAGTCCATTTCAAAACTATAGACGCGTACCTAGGCAAAAACCGTTATGCCAGCATCTATACCACATAAAATCTGTGATCACTTTGTGCATAAATTTTTCCAAATTGGGCGTCTGTTATCCAATCCTTTAGAAACTATATGAGAGTAATTGTGGAGCGATCCTGAGCAATATTCCGAAAACTATTCTCAAAAAGTTCCAGCCAAATTTGAAATATTTCAAAAACCCTACGCGTCTATAGTTTTGAAATGCACTGTAACGCCGAAGCCGGTCCTCCCAGCACATCGACTCCCCCCCCCCCCCCCCCCCATTTCCTTTCTTGTGTATTTCTCTGGTACTTGTACTTGCTCACTGCCAAAACTGGTCACGTAGGTCTCCCCGGGAGAGGGGAGAGAGACTCAAAAGGAATCTTGGAAAGATGACTCAATTGGCTATTGAGCCATGAAACGGCAGACACCCCCTTGAAATCCCCACACTCTGGGTGGACTTGCAAATGATCCCACTTATGGGCTCACCACACCTTAGTAAGTGGGTGAGGACGAGGTACAGAAAACGACTAACGCCATCAGGGTATCCGTCACGAGATCCAACTGCAGCTACCCCTGCCCCCAGTGAATGTAATACTTGCTACTAGTGTGGCTGGCTAAGTCAGAAAGGATCTGTTATAAGCTTCAATAGCACAATTGATTACACGAGAGTCAATCTAGCCAGAAGTAGTCCATGGTTAACAGGTATGTATACTTCAAATAGAACGTATATGAAACCTGGAACCAACGAAGTATTATTCTACTGTCCACCCTGCTTGTTTTTCAGTCAGGCTGTGTTCGAGCGAAGTTTTGCTTCTCATACTAGGAATAAAACCCAGAAACACAACCAATTGTTCAGAAAATTAACAAGAGAGTTAATGAACACTGGCAACAATAATTGTAAAGTAGCCCTACTCAAAGCATTATAATAGTGTTTGCTTGCCACGAAGGCTGCTGTGATTTGCACTCCTAATTTACAGAGTGCAGAACCTTCGAGGGGCGGCGGGGTGAGCCATTTATGGGTAACATGCAGCGTAAATGGATAGTACAACTACAAAATCGGGGCGTGGGGGACGAGAACTCCCAAAATCAATAGAGCCAAAGGTGAGAGTGAAAGCTCCTGTATGTTGCTTTGGCCAAGCCCTATCAGTATAACTATAAGACGATGCAGTTTGAACTGACTTGCAATCGCCAGAAACTCAGTAGTGAGTAGAAAAGGAAATAAAAACCAGACCGACATGAAGCAAAATCGGCAAAGCTCGCAATCGAAGATTTCAAGTTGTCACAAATCTTACCTGACCGACCGCCAGCTGACGCACTTCTCCTGTTTCGGCCAACTCCCTGCTCGTTCTGCTAAAGTCTCAGCACCATCCGTGTCCTTTCCATCAACACAAGTACTAGTAGTTCACTTTCTCCATCAATTCATCGACAGCAACGTTCATCGGGAAATTCTCGACACTGCACTGTCTTGTGACAAACGACATACATGGGCGCGCACCAACGAACTGAACCGTGAACCAATGACCTGATGACCCGGCCTGGTAGAGGTGCAGATCAAAGTTCGACCTCCACATGCACTTGTACATGGACCATGCTGCCCGTCGATGCGCGATGAGACTTGATGTCACGTGATCGCTTCACTGCAGAATCCATCCAGTCCTAGATCCTTCACATCACCGAGACGCTGTCCGGCTGAGGTCTTTCGAGTCCGAGTATGATCTTGTAGATTTTGTATTTGTATTTGTAATTATGGATTCTCCACAGGCCTTAGCCTAAATCGAGGGAGTCTCCGTGGGGGAGAGGACTGAAATCTACGAATCAGGTGAAGAGCCAAGTCTCTCATGTAGACGGTCGATGCATGGATAGCAGGAGCGTCGCACCGACTTTGGAGGGTCCTCTCCCGGGAAAAAATTTCAAAAATTGAAGCCAATTGCAAGCAATTCCGGGCATTCCGGGCATTTGGTGCCATTTCAGTGTACGGTAACTACAATGAAAGACTTTTTGATTCTGCAAAAAACCAAGAAGATGCTACGATCGGGGACAAACATATTACCCTCCCCCGGGAAAAAATTCAAAAATTGAAGCCAATTGCAAGCATTCCCAGGCATTTGCAGTTGGTGCCATTTCAGTGTACATAGACTCTTTGCAACAAACCACGATCGGCGACAAGGATTTGCCATGTTTGCGCTGAGATCATCGCGCTTTGTTGCAGTGTGCTCAAAACAAAACAAAAACGGCCGAAAAAGTGGGGCGGCCATGGCCGGTGCGGTTCCGACGCCCTTGGATAGTCGGCTGCGGACTCTAGAATAGACCAATCCCGAAAAGATTGTCTGGGTTCGAAAGGGGGCATGTCAACTGAGAGTACACTGTACAACACATACATGGCACTACCTGATCAGCATGCGGCACAGGACGTGTTTGATAGTTCGCGTGTGAATGCGAGGGTAAGTACACGATTTTCTCGTTAGTTGCATGCAAGAGAGACGATGCGACAGAAAGCGAAGCCCTTTGTAGTTTTCTCTCTCGCACTGGTAATGGTCTGCTGTTGGAGTTGAAATGCTAAGACATTTAGAAAAGCGATCCTGTCAGCTTTTCTATTATTGTGTTCACATGGCAGAAAAAACGACATCGCTATGCTACGTAAGTTTCTACGTAAGGTGCTCGGTATTTCACTTAGGCTACGTAAGTCTCTACGTAAGGTGCTCGGTATTAGATCTACCAACGCGTGGTAGCCGTGTGCTGTGCACGTGCACGGCAGACATTGTGTTCAGTGCATGCAGTCCGCGGATCCGTGTTCGGATGTGCATGCGCGAGGAACTTCCTTCTTTGGAACTGCTTCTTGCATGAGCTGTTTCGGATATTTCGTCTCATGGCCTGGCTTATTTCGTTTCGGCGCTGCTGAGACCTCCTTTCGCGGAATA